AGTCCACCAATGGCATGATAATTTACTCACTTATCAGTACAAAGTCCATGTTTTTGGCAAGTGACATAACTGTGACATCCCTTTTTACCCATGTTATTCTCTGTTTAGCTCTTCGAAAACAGCAATGGTTAACAATAACCTATTCTGGCAAGTTGGATATATCTAAAGTTTGGCTTCACAAATTGCACATTTAATCTATGATCTTGTTGGCAAGGTTCCATTACCGAGGCATCCAATTATTATCAGTTATTACCCTTTAGAGAATAGGACAATTGGATCAAAAACCAACACAAATTTAAGTATCAAAACATGTTTCGCTTTATTCAGCTTCCTCAGTTGATACATGAATAGGCACTAGTATGGATAAACTTTCCAGGCAAGCTGGTTTAAAATATAAGTTTTATCTGCTATACCCACTAACCAGTTCATTGGCAATGATCTTTGCAAGGTATATAATTGCAGTATCAATTTTAGCCCAGTTATCTCCCTCTAGACTTTTGTTCGCCTATTTTGCCCAGTTGAAGTGCCGTCCAGTTAGCTCAGTAGGTAGAGCATTTGACTGTAAATCTGGCAACCCAGGTTCAATTCTCGGAAGGTGCTTGATCATGAAATTTCTAGTGTCATTCCCACTGTACTTCTGCTCTGGCATGCTGCAGAAGTTATCCTTGCAAAAGTGAAGGCAATTAATACTGGTAAACTAATTGACAGCCTGCTCAGGAATGATGCGGTGGCTGAACTGTGCTCTGGAATATTCAATTTGTCTAACTGCCATGATTCGGAGTGAATATTACCAACTCACCGAATTGGATACATCTATACCAACTGCTTAAAACTAAGCGCACTACTGGTTGGGGACCATCAAACCCTGACGGAAGACGGACAAAACCCCACCAGTTAAAACCCCACCACTCAAAATTTTATAGAGTGGACAAAACCCCACCACTAAATTTTATAGAGTGGACAAAACCCCAGCACTAAATTTTATAGAGTGGACAAAACCCCAGCACTAACTTTTACAGAGTGGACAAAACCCCACTATAAAAATTTAGTGGTGGGGTTTTGTCCACTCTATAAAATTTAGTGCTGGGGTTTTGTCCACTCTATAAAATTTTGAGTGGTGGGGTTTTGTCCTACATTCAACCCTGACAGCCCCGAAAATGCTTAATTTAGTTTTTTTCTTTGTCCAGTGGTTATTGATATATCAGTCACTTTATCAGCATTAAATGCATGTTTCTTCTATAATTAAGTAATTAAATTTATTTCATCTTTTGTAAACAGTAATCTTTTAATGTCTTTTTCAAGAACATTCACATTAAAAATTTGGATGTCAAGAGTGTAATACCTGACCTCTTATACTAGCTATATAAATCATTTGCTGAATAAACAATAGAATATCCAAAACTTCAGCATTTACTGTATCATGTTAAAAATGAAAAATTAAAGCACCCAAGCTTTTATCTGAATTAAATCAACGTCATGTAAATATCTGTCTGGACACATGGTACAATAGTTTGGACAATTTAGGTAATATTGATACCCTCCTTGATGTGCTCTGATAAAAGTGTTAACAATCAGAAATAAACAAACAAGTTTGTTATATAGTTACAAGAACCTAGCTGTATGTGTCAAATCTTAGATCTCTAGCTTGAAAATTATGAAATATGTATGGAAAAATGTTCAAAAAGAGTCCAGTTGTTGGTCCTCTACCAGTAACCACCACATTAAGTCCCATAACCCTGGCATCCATTTTCCGTAATTATCATACTTTTTTGCACATTTGGTTCGGTGAGTTGGATATATCAAATATTCTATTTTTGTCAGTGGATTAAACCAAAACAATCTAAGAAATATAGGACTATCCAACTTGGGTGTGTGGTTGCATAGCACTTGCTGAACTGGAATGTGATTAGGAGTATATCAGTATTATTTCTCAGGTTTCAATGACCCCATCTCTGACTTTAATGTATGAATCAATTATAAGTAATAGAATATGTTTAAGACAGTTAAGTTCTGTTAAATAACTCTTAGAAAAAAAAACTTTAAAAAATCGATATGCATTTCGATGGATGATATAAGTTGAAGACGACAACAATATTGTAGGACAAGTTCATTCGTTAGTAAATTTTCCGGTACCATGGAAGATGGACTAGGTGCACATGTTTGTACATTTACTGGCTGCAATAAACGTTTTAAGAAGCACAGCAGGTTACAGAGTCATTATTTATCGCATACTGGCGAGGTAATTTCGTTGGGTATTTTAATTTAATCAAAAGGGTTAGTATTAAGTTAAAATTTCATTGAAATATAAAAAAGTGGAATAGTTTTCGGATAAAACTGTACATTACTGGAACCACTGCACTACACCCAGCTGTTGCCCTACTCCCTACCCCAGAGATGTTCACTGCAGCTGTTGCTTGCATCCTAGTTTTCCAGGCTCCCTGTATCCCTAGTCCAATAGATTAGACGTTACAGGCTTGTTATAGTTTTACTGGTAAGCATGATGATCTCTCTTTCAAAATAAGTGATTTATTTTGATATGCTTGACTGACCCAGTTTTATTGTATTCATCAACGGGTATTATAAATTAGTCGTTCCACTAGTTTTTGCACAGTTTGTATGACACCTTTTTCATGGAATGTTTAATTTTTAGCCAGCCTCAGCTTTGATTTAATTTTTCATTTGACAGTTCCTAATCCTGTAAATGGCTGTAATGCTTTTCTTTTATTGTACTATTAAATTTTCAAAATGTGCAAACCAAAAATACATTAGTAAAACTTCATTACTGATTCATTTCAAACAATACTTCTTTTGATATCAAATATTTCAATGAATACATTCAGTGTTTTTTTCTCTACTTTGGGAATGGTGCCGGTACCAGACTAATTGGGAAAAATGAGTTATTTTGACTTAAATTGGGAATTTCTTTTTATGCATTTTTTCAGCTACAAATAAGATAAGTCATCATGAATAAAGACAGCTAACAGCTTCCACTGTCTAGGTAGAACTATTGAGTGGTGATTTATATGAATATGTTGGAGTTAAATGATTTGAGATAAATCACTTGGCCTTGTGTAAATTTTGAACAGCCATTTTGGGAATTTAAACATTGGAAATTGGGAATTTTAATGTCTATTTTCTATTGGGAACAGTACCGTTTTAGGGTAGTAGTTACATAAAGAAAAAAAACACTGACATTTGCTGATATCTGCCTTTATTCACTTTAAATGTATAAAGAAACTATTTTATATGATAATCTATCATAATCATATATGATTAAACATACATTGATTTTAACACTTTTCTATTCTTTGGGAAAAAACTTCATCAATTAATCTATGAGTTTTTGGACGTATTACTATTTAAAAAGTAAATATGTAAATATAGATAACAGAACAACAAAAATAGACACACAGTGAAAGAAAAGACAATTTTGTACATACAAAATAACATTTCATTGTCTTAACTTTTTCATAAAATGAATACTAAACTCAGGCAAAGTTAGGAAGCAAACACACCAAAGCCTTTTTAAGATTCCTGGCTTGAACCCTGGGGAGATTCTGTCACTATTAAACAGCAAGTTGTTATATGGCAAAACATAATCTAATATATCCAGATATCTTTATGATGTCTCTATACTGAAGTTATTTTCTAGACTATTGATGTTGTAGCAGCATTTTTGTCTCCATGTTATCTAGAGATCCATTATGATATAACTATCTGCCTTACAAAGATAATTGGCTGGCTAAAAGATTGATGATACCTTCTAATGAATAAAATCTTTTAATTCTTTGTGAAAATGCCAGTATTGCCTGTGGGAAATGCTTTAAGATTATAGAGGAAATAATTTGAATATCTCTGTGTTAAATTATACGGATGTAAATAATTATTTTTTTTACTTTCATAAAGTTATGAGAAACTATTGCGAGTAAATTATCATGCCAGCAATAAATATGTGTTTGTTATTTTTAAAGCGTCCACACATCTGTAGTTATGAGGGTTGTAACAAAGCTTATAAAAGAGTGGATCACTTAAGTCGTCATCAACAAGTTGCCCATGTATCAGATGAGGAACAGAACAAGAGGTATATCTATTTGCTTTGTTATAAAATTTTACAAAATAAATATAAAATATATGTATTCGCATTATCTAAGAGTCTCACTGGCTTGGATAGTTTACTTGTATATTTGAAAACTAGTTTAAACAACAAACTTGTATATCTGAAAACTAAATGTTTAGACATTTGAGGAGTGAAAGTTTACTGTTAAGTGATACATGAAACTAAGGTGAACCACTTTGCTTGGACTATCGAAGGGGTCTAGTGGGAAATGTTGATGCTGCACTGATGATAAATTCATAATCATCATCAATAAATAAATGAATTAATGAATATATTAATTAATTAATGATTGAATGAATAAAGATCATAACAAATAGCAGAAAATGTAAATGTATTTATCATTTTAGTAGTAGTCTCTACAAATTCATGTTATAAAAGATATTGATGATTTATTTGACAGTTGGGAATGTGAGGAGAGTGACTGTGAGTCCACATTTAGTTCTGTGTATGCCCTGAAGAAACATATAGCCCAGTACCATGAGAGAGATACGTATAAGGTATTATAGTTTCATATATTTTTTGTCAATAAAGATCATGGCTACAATCGTTGCAATCATTCTAAGCTCAGGTTTGAGCACATATTGCTCATATTATGATTATATATAGTCTGTCATGTGTCATCCATCTATTGGTATCAACAATTTCTTTAAACAACATCTCTTCCTTAACCACTTGGTAGACTATGACTAAACTGCGTAAACTTGAAAATGAAATCTTTAAAATCTGCTCAGTAACTACAATGGTAAAATAATTGACTAGTAATTTAGCATCACATTGTGGTTCTCTATAAAAGTTAAATAAATCATGCCCCTAAGGTATGTTTCTCTGGAAATGGGGATCGTGTCTGATGATTATAAAAATTATAAAAATGCAACTATAGTCCCTGTTTACAAAAATATTAAACTGTTCCAATTACTAAGAAAAATTGATCTGTTCATTAAAAGAAGTGACAGATATATGATTATACACATGTTAAAAAAAACCCATACAAGTCGTGGATTTGGTAGTTTTTCAACTTTTTAAAAAATACTCTAAATTCCCAAAATGTTGGAGAATATTCACCAATTTATGCCAATCGCCTTTTTCTAAAATAGCTAGAAAAGGCCCCTGAGAAAGAACATGACAAATTTGACTTCTGCATTGAAGAATGATATTTATTTCTATCAACGATTCTAAGTTTAAATAATATTTTTTCAAGCAAAGTAATTTGATTGTATTGTGAAGTGGAATGATTTATAAATCTATGTTTCAGTGTACTGTGATTGGCTGTGAGGCTGTGTTTAACAAGCATCATCAATTAAAGACACATAAATTAGAAGAGCATGCACAGGGCAGGCTGTTGTGGTAAAAAATATTGTATATTTTCTAATAATGAACCTTATGCTTTATTAACGTACCTAAGTAATAATGTACCTCAATAAAAAAAAAAGTTTTATAATTTAGCAGTTACTCGGATATAAAGCTCAAAAGAAAATGAATTGAGAATCATTTGAACTGAATTTTTACCCAATTTAGTTGAATGTTTGTAGTATATCACTGTATATGTAAACTAATTGCAGGTTATGAACTTACTTTCTTGTTTCATGTTTCTGAGTTAAATCATAATAAACAGTTTTTTTGATGAATTATAGAAAACAATAAATTTGATTGACTGTTATTTATTACAGTTGTCCAGTTGCTGGCTGTGGTAAGGCATTCCCAACACAAAATAAACTGAAGAGGCATCAGAAAATACATGAAGGTAGTTTATGTTATAAAGTGATTCTCAAATTTAAAGTTTCATTATTTGTTTATTTTTTGCCCTGTAAAACAAAATAGTGAGGGGCTTAATGGTTCAAATTTTGATAAGGGTGTGGGCCATATTCATGTATATTCTTTTCTCAATAAACAGATCTTGGTTGAAGCACAAACTGTACAAGATACTATTACATTTAAGAATTCAGTGTGATGTTATTAGCTTAGAACTGTGAGAGGTAATGAAAGATAGATATGAAAATTGAAGACAGGCACTGTCAAGGTTTTTAAATATAACTTTAGTTTATGTCTTTTTGGTATGCAAGATGCATATTTGTACTGTTACAATCTGTATATATTAATATTACAGGGTACACATGTACAGAGAGTGAGTGTGGTAAGAAGTTTGACAAATGGTCATTGCTAGTCAAACATAAAAAGGTGGATCATGCTACAGGTAAGGTGATAATATTTAATATTTCTCGTTATAGTTCATATTAACCTTTAACCTGTTGAATTTATAATTGACTTGTCCAGCAATGAATTTGGAACAGTCCATAAGAAGCTAACAATAGTATAGTGACTGACCAGATTGGACAGTAGGGCTGGCTGGCCGGGCCCTATACTAGTTTCAGAGGCTAATTACTTCCTGTTCAAGCAAGTTTAGGGTTATGCATAGATTAGGGCACAATTGACAAAATCCTTTTTGAGATTGAAATAAATTTAATTATTGTTAAATGTAAAGTGAAAGTCCTGAAAGTATCTTAAAAGTAGTTCTTATGAAGTTCATTTTTTAATAAAAAAAGAAGATGCTGTTAGGGTTGACTGTGATAATTTATATTGAATCTGAACAGATAACTGGTTACAACATTATTGAAGTCTTGACTGATTTCTATAGTATACACAGCATTTCAAAGTTCAGATTTCAGACTTTAAGCATTACTGAATGCAGAGCTTGATTAAAATAGTTAACATATGAAAGAATTACATTATTTAGTCTGATAAATTTGTTGCAGTGCATGAGTGCCCAGAGTGCAAGAAATCATTCAGTCAGAAGCAGTGGTTAAAACAACATATGTTAACTCATGCTGACAGACGTATGTCATTTATCTGTAACCATGACAACTGTGGACGTTCCTACCTGGACCAGCGTAATTTAAATGCTCACATACGTAGTTACCATGAAGGCAAGAGATTCTCTTGTGAACATGAAGGGTGTAGTCAAACATTTACTACCAAGGTATGGAATGAAAAAAAATTATTTCAAATATATATTAGAATGGTCTTACCATATACAGATTGGGAAAGGCTTATTGCAATAGTGATAAGAAATCACTGAAAATGTGAATTAAGGCAAACAATAGAATCATTTGATAAAGTTGTGATAAAGAGCATTTCAGTTTAAAGATGTCCACATATAAGACATATGTTCCCTATAACCTTAATGCCATACTTTGTAGACTTCTCTCTAGGACACATTTGCCTTAATTTGGGGAGTGGGGATTTTGTGTCTTTTGATAAGTATAGAAAGGTGTTTCTAAAATTCTAAACTTTACGTAGTGGGCAAACAACCTTGTGTACCAATATCAACTTGCAAATATTATTAAAGCAAAGTGAGACTAAATGTTGACATATAATTAAGAAATAATACGAGGGGTGTCCCAGAATTACGTGGACTTTTGCTGTAACTCAAAAACTACTGAAAATAAAAACAAACAAAATTAACATGAACAAAATGCAACTTTATTGCATTAGTACAAAAAATTTCAAAGTTGTCCGGCAACTGGATCAGTGTCTGTGGGCATGGTAATGAGACAAGGGGTAGCGGGTGCGGGGCAGTCCATTCCGACGTTACGACGTCATTCCGGTGGCGTCACTAGTTGTTAATAAATGCGTGGCGTCGAATGTCAGTTTTTCTCAACATAGTCACCGCCTAACTCGATACACCTATGGTGTCGATATATCCACTGGTCGTACACCGCCCTGTACCACTCCTGGTCGAAATCAGCCAGCACTTTCTGCGTTGCGAACGAGAGTTCCTGGAAGGAATCGAACTTCCGTCCCTTAAGTAAGCGATATTGTACATATACTTAATCCGCAAATAATAATAAATTAATAATAATAATAAAGAATAATATTAACTTTTGTTACGATAATAGTGTTAAAGACGACAGTGATAATGCTGACGCCTTATTATTATTATTATTATTATTTATCATTATTATATTTATTATTATTATTATTTTTATTATTATTCTTTTATTATTATAATTATTATCATTATTATCATTATTTATTATTATTATTATTATTATTATTAGACCTTCTATTATTATTATTATTATTGTGGAGTTTATTTTGTACGCAAAGACAATGTGCGTTAACAAGGGAAATAACCTATCATGCGCCCTATCATCTCTGACGTCCTTGACTTCCTTAATTGACGCCGCAGTCAACGTTGACTTTCTCCCATGACCCTTGTCGTCTTCAATGTCCTTCCAGCCGTCTTGAAAACGCTTATGCCACTTGAAAACGAGTGATCGCCAAACAGGAGGTCTCACTTTTGCAGTCTCCGACATTTCCTGCGTCTGTGTCGGCGTCTTCCCAAGATCCACACAAAACTTGATGATAGTCCGATGTTCCGCGTAATCCGTGGACGTCATTTTTTGTTAAATATCCAAGAGCATCGGTTGTCAGTTGTCCGCTGGTAAACAATAACGGAAACAGCTATGACGTCAAAATTTCAAACGAACGTTTATATGACGTCACTGCATATGCTTACAACGTCGCGCCATTTTTTACTTATAAATATGCAAGATATACGAAAGTAAAGACAACTTATTCATAAAAATATTGGACTGCCCCGCGCTGCGCATACTGCGTTACTATAGCGATGTAAAATATAGAGAAGCAATGTTAGAAATTTAAAAATAATGGACATATTCATTAAGGATATGTTAAAGGTATTGTGTACAAATTTGCTAAAAAATGCATTAAAAAATAAAAAAATTATAGTAAAAGTCCACGTAATTCTGGGACACCCCTCGTATATCCCAAACTGTGATTTTATTGCTCAATAACATCACTGTTTGGAGTTCGGATGCAACAAATTATATCACGAGGGCGTAGCCCGAGTGATATAATGATGCGCATCTGAACGACAAACAGTGATGTTATCAAGCAATAAAATCACCGATTTGGATATATTATTTCGATTCTAACACGACATCAACAAATAAATGCTGCCATACCTGATATTTAGCTAAATTGCGCCAGTTTGTTTCTGTACTTATTGTCAGCGTTTATTGGTTACGCCACGTGTATAATGAGGCCCGCATGGAAGATCGGGAAACTGAATGTGTTAGCCTTATTAAATAAAGTCGTAACTTACTTACTTACTATTACGTCACATGTCTAAATATAGAACGTCAAACAGTGATTTTATAGCATAATAACACACACTTTCAGTTCTTCTATGTTCAATAGGGAAAAATGCGGGTTGTGTTAGAATCAGCAATTAATATTGGTTTTCAAATGTTAAAAGGGTCTGTGTATTCTGTAAGTCACAGAATAGTATGTCTGTAAATACAGACACTTTGCTATTTTCTTTAGACAAAATAGGTATAATATATGAATATTTCTGAAAACTTTTAATTGTTTTTGTAAAGTTGTGTTCTGGCACTAGACAGAGTTAATCATTGACTGCTTAAATAGACTTGGTGACATGTTTGGTCACAATTTGAATACAATAATTACTTGACTGAAGAATTGATCTGTGTATAAGTTATTGCCAATAATTATTGTTAACAAGGGCCACATACCTATCAATGGAAATCCAGTGTATTATTTAGCTGTCTTCAGCAATACCTTCCTGGTGTGAGCTTTCTAGGATAATTGAATAACTATCAGAGACTTAGATGGGAAGGTGATGATTGATTGTAATCTGTATCTTTTCCAATCCCAAGACATGTGTCAGTATAATATGATCTATATTTTGTTAGTGAGATCTATTCCAATTTTTAGATTAATTTTCGAGGAGGACTCCATGACAGTCACCAGTGGGACAATCCCATATGTTAGGATGTTATGGCTTGTCTATTCACTAGTGGTTAAAATTTATTGCATGTAGTGGTCAAATCAGTATGAATGACTTGAACTGTAAACAATAATTTAAACTGTAAATTGAGGCTTTCCTTTAGTTATTTTAGTATTTCTTTTTTGTTTCAGCAAAAGTTACAACAACATCAGAAATTACATGATCCAAACAGACCATTGCCAAAGGTAAGATTATGTCCTCTTGTTATATATAAAATAAATCATTTCATAACATTAATTCCGTGTATATGTTTCTGAGACCTTGTTTGCAATAATATCAATGAGACTTTTCAATGAAAAAAGCCATTTTTCACAAAATGCTCATGCAGTAATGGGTTAATAAAGATATTGCAAATTAGAAAAAGTACTTTGGTTTAAAATCATTTTAAAAATGAACATCAAAATTTCAATCAGTTTTGACTTCTATTGTAATGTAAAAACATGTTGTACTTAGTTTTGTCAAAAACTTCAACCATTAAGTGTATATTAAGTACTTCATCAAGTAGTGTAAAGTTCAAAGAAATTTTTAAAAAAATCAACAAATAACTGTTGTTTTTGTTAGTTTTGTGAATCTGGAGGTATATAGTTAAGATACTGTAATCAGTCAGTGATACAAATATTGAAGAATGTAATGATGTTATCTCACATTTTCCAGATAACATATGTATTGTAGTAAGAATATTGATGCATTTATCATTTGGTTATTTTATGTTTGCAGAAAGCTAGAAAGAAGAAATCAAAGGTAGAAAAGCTTCTAGGTATAAGCTTGGAAACAGAGTCCAGAGGTCAAGATCATGCAACCTTTTACTCTCCAAACAGAGAAGATAGTATAGATCTACCTGACCTATCACATTTACAGGCAGATAAAAATATACCTGCAGCTTTAACAAGCCCAGGTGAAGTAAAGGAAGAGTATATACAACATAGTGAAATGATGGAATCAATTCTTCAAACTGCATTACGAAAAGTTAAAAGTATTGAAAAGAGTAAACCTGATGATAGAAATGAAGAAAGTGATGAGATAGGACATAAGGAAAGTGCTGAAATAGAATTTATTGAAAGTGATAACAAAAATGAAACTGAATGTAATAAAGAAAGTAACAATAGTGGAAACGATATGGAAATTATAAAACACATGGATAAAACAGAGAAAAACTCAAGCAACAATATGGAATTTTCAATATATATCCTTGATGGAAGTGATGGTAACTTAAAGAAAATAAATATGTGTTCAAACAATTCTATGGAAACTAGTCAAGATAATACTGACACAGTTTAATATTGTCTGAGCTAAAGTTAAGTTGTTACAGTTTGTGCTATATATACATTCTATAATACTGAACTAATCTGAATGTTGATGAAATCAAATGATCCATCCTGAATATAGTCATTTTTAGTTTGTCTGTTTGGAAGAAAAGATCAAAAGCTATTAAGATGCATGCAGCAGCGGCTTCATCATCGTGCAAAAACTTTAGTGTAGCTTATTATTCAAACATACATGAAACCTTGCATCCTTACTTACTATGCCCCTTGTTACTAAACTTTACCAAGTATTTTGTCATGATTGCTTATCAAGTACCATGACTTTAAAACTATCAAAAGTATAAAAATTTAGACTTGGAATAAATGACAAGGGGCATTACCTTGAATGCATTTTTAGATATCTCTTTTTTTCTGTACAAATTGGTTATTGATAGAAAATTTTCTTTGCATACAATGTGCATAATACTTGCTTATGAGAACAATTCATATTTGTAGGACTTACATAACTTAAGTGATCTGTATTTCTAGAGTTTTTTCCTATTTTTTCATGTAAATTATTAAAACTTTACCAATATTTTGAACATTCACAATCACAAAGTAATTCATTTTACTGAGAAATGACAGCATACATAACAGTTAATATAAGTATTTGCCCTTAACTGTTGATATAGCATGTGGTGCTCTTGTTGTTTTATTGGGCATTTATTTGCTAAAATGTTATTTAATATTATGTTATATTATATATTAAAGAGAAAATAATAAAAATATATATGAACTTATCATATTAAGTTGTTGTTTATCTTGGGTAGCAGATATTAGACAAATTTACCTCATCACTAGTTTCCTGGTGCAGGTAGGCCGTGTTCAGATAGCTTATAAAACCAAAATATTTGTGGCCTTTCCATGGACTGACAAAATTGTGAAATCTACAGGGCTTTTCTGGGAAATTGGAAGAGGTGTTGGTCGTACATTTGCAATATTTTGTCAAATATGGAAAAAGTGAAATAACAACAAGCAAACAAACTAGATCTAAATTCATTTCTACATTGTTGTATTATAAAGGCTGCTGCTTTACAGACCTTGAAGAGGTCATTAATTTTTCAAGAAGTTTGTATGCATTGATCTTCATTGAAACATCCAGTTGTTGATAAGTGTGTGGTACACAAGACCTTTTTCTGTAGAAGAAACTTATATTGAAATGCATATTGTACAGTGTAACACCAAATGTTTTCACACTTTTCAAGGAGAAAGTCGTATCTGGGAATGTATATAACATAGGCTTTGGAAACTGATCCAGTTATTTGCTGTTTGTCAAAGTTCCAGCATAACTGCTATTTGATGTTCAGAGTGAGACACTTTACAGTGTTATATCTGGCATAATATTGGAGCAGCATTTGCTGTCCTCAAGCAATGGCACTGTAGTGACTGTACCAGCCCTACCTATTACATTGTAGTAATCCAGGGGTTGATAGTTGGATCCTAGGGTAAGGTGAAATTTCTCCATGACAATCTCAGACATTGTATCTAATAGTCATTTGTGTGTCACTGCTGATTCAGAAATTATATAGGATTCGAAGTTGGTCACTTTCTGAGAAATTGGTACCTGCTGGTTAGCTATCCAGGAAAGCTGGTAAGGTAGATATGACCAAAGAATCAGTGTAAAACCAGAAAAAAAATTGAAGACTTATTACAAGTAGTGCAGGGTGTCCGTTTGACCCTTGAAAGGACTCTTTGACCCTTCAAATTTCCAAAAGGCCTGATTTGACCCTCAGGATTTTAAATGGAGGGTCAAATTTTGTTAAAATAATGGGGATTTGGCCTTGTAGTCCGTAAAACTTAGTCTAAATGACCCTCAGGATTTCATGGCTAGTGAACACCCTGTAGTGGCAAACTATCTTCAGCAAAGCTCCATTATAACATGTAGGCCCAGGGTAACTCTGTTTTCAAAATTAAGAAAAATGTGAAGATTTCATATGCTTTATAAATATATATCTATATTAAACTGCAATTATTTGAAACTTGGAGGAGCTTGCCTCAGTCCCTCTAGCAAATATAACTACTACATGTATTTCAAACTGGCCAAGTTTAGACCATCAGTGTGATGGGAGACGTTCCTTTCCTAGCCACCAGGTGCCATTCTTTAGTCTTTCCCACAACTGGAATTCTGTGACACTTGTTTATCTGTAACATTGTCCTTTTTACCCATCTTTTTGGATCATCTCTAGGTTGTATCTGTTTGTTTTGTAAAATTTTCATGTTGAGTAATGACATTATGTTTAATGAAGTCCAGTGTCCTGTTTTGCATTTGCTGAATATATGTGTTTTCCAGTTAAGGCCCATGATGGGGGATGAGTTTAACCATGAAGTGTGTAAGGGAACTGGTCAGGATTTTAAATGCATGTGATACGGGGCATTTTTTTATGCAGAAGCATAAAATATTAGATACATGTATCATAATTATCACATAAATATTTTTTTTTTGAATTTTGCAACCTTCCACGTAGTTCATAATTTCCTATAAAATATAGAAGGAAAATATTTAGCGGTGTTCAAAATACTAAACGCTCGCCAGTGGATGATAATGATATTTTAAAAATATTTTTAGACATAGCCGACAGGAAATCGTCCTGATTGGTTCAATCAAATTGTTTTCAAATTCATTGGCGGAGAAATATGTAAATTTTTAACTCTCGTATTTATCTTTTATTTTAGTATCGTTCCCAAATTAAATTATAAAAATATGTCTTTCCCTCGAGCAAACGTTAAAAGATTCAACGAAATCCAAGGTAAGATACCGTCTTTGTCACTGCCAAAAATTATTTCACCAATTGCTTTGAATTTATTCTCTGTTATCTGGTTATAGGGCCTACCATAGGCACTTGGTTTCGGGATAAAAAGCCTTTTGAAGGGTTTGTAGGACTCAAATTTGATTGAATGTAACGATTTTTTAACGTAGATGTCTCGATTCTAAATTCGACATTTTTCCGATATTACTAAAAAAACACAAGGTAGCTCAGTCGCCATTTTTATCCGCAACGGAAGTGGTGAATAATTTACCGTACACGTACCGTACCGAATCTGGTACCCGCGAATCGTATAGACAGCTGCTTGGAAACCGGGCACCGCTACTGTTTGCCTGGTGACATAAAGTGGCGCTAATTTTGAATTGCAATAAAGACGATATTTTTTAGCAAAAGAGGCTGTATTCATATAAACTGTAACGATGGGCTTGGAAAAATGGTAACTTTATTACAACAACTTGATATAACAGTCATTAAATTACCGATCTAGGTATATATTTACATATTAAAGGAACTCCACTGAGGTCCAAAAAGCAATAAAACATAACATGCTACTTTATTACACAGATCAAGTTTGGCACTAAAAGAGAAAGATATACAATGGATAATTCTGGAATATACTCAGAAAAAATTGAAAATCGTTTTGCTATTCGTAGCCCATTTTGTGTGTAAAGTGTTTCAACCCTTTTCATTTTTTTTTATTATCTTTCATAAAATAACTATGAATGATCCGAAATTTTCCACAACCTTAAAAATCAAATGGAACATAAATGCCGAAAAAAATTTCAAGTCCTGTCTATTCAAAAACACCAGTTGAGTCCCTTAAATGATACTTAGCAGGAATGAAGACTGACTTGGAGGCATATTTATAGTAACATGAAGAAGCTAAACAGGGCTCTATTGTCATCTGTTGTGACAGGAATAATAATCAGAATTATAAAATTATTGAAAAGCAGGAGAAATAGATTTTTTAAATTAATATTCATATTGATTATAGCTCTTATTGAATACTTTTTCAACCAAACTATGCATGGGGATTGAAACAAAGACCAAACTTGGCAATGAAAAAGGAACTCTTATAAAAAATAAGATAAATTTCATAAATTGACAGCAGCTGTTATATAAAGAATTATAATTTATAGAAATGTTGTGATTATCCAATGTCACCAACTTGCCGCATCCTAAATATTCCATGTAGGACCTTGGCGGGTAATAAATATGAAAATGTCATAAATGTCTGAGATTATTGCCCGCACAATGTTGAATATGAATCTGTATGGGTCCTTAAGTTGTATTTCATATGAGAACCATGTTGTTCCTGTACGGGTTTGCCAAGATTCAGCAAATATGGACTGGTACTCTAATGGAAATGCTTGCTTTAACTCTTAATTTAATTTTCTGGGTTCAAGTTGTAGCAGTGATATGAATGCTTACTTTTTAGCTCCACTATTCAAAGAAAAAGGAGAGCTATCCTTACCTCCTGAGCATTATATTACTAGTAACCACTGACATGTTGAAGTTTTTGTACCACCTCAAGTCCACTGACATATGATATTGAACTTTTGCAGAGTCCATTGACACATGGGTTTGAAACTATGCAGACTTGTTCACCATCAAGCCCAAAACCTGTACACATGGAGGAGGTAACAAGCATTGTGACAGAATTATGCTCCTTTAACTAATTTTTTTAATTGTATAGAATATTCTTCTTTGTTAATTTCATCATTATCCAGGTTGTTACTATACTATCAAGTACTGAGAATAGTAAAGTTTGCTTGTCCAATTGATAGCTCTTGTTTTATTATTTTGTTGAAGTGTATACATGAACTCAATAATCTTGATTAAATAAAAATATATTTTCAAGTCTATATTGAGGCAAAACACCTTCAAGAGTGTGATACCATATTCTTTCTTTCATGTGCATAAATAAACACAACATTGTGAAGGGCAGACTATTTATCTCTAAAATTAATATAATTATTTGATTGCATGAGCAAAAATCCTTTATATGTTCAATATTCAAATTATGTATAATCAGCACAATGTTGACACAACCAAACAGGTGAGTAAATTTCAATCCAAGTTAATTAGATCACAAGATGAAATTAATAAAATAGATGTATTCTTAAAATATGAAATCATGTATTAAGTAAACTTTGTGTTTTCATTTGAAATTTCAGATAAGTCTTTCCAACTGAATCAGCAAATAAGAAAACAAATTTACATCTAACAATGAAATAATAAAATTGTCTTCTATAAACTTTTTTCTTTATTTTCTAAATAGAAAACTACTTAATATAAAATGCTGCTACTAACTAGCATTTTATAGTGATTAATAAAGCAGCCTTTATTTACCCAAAATGATATGATTTTATAATTATTCACACTAAAGAGCTGAAATTTAAGAATTATAGGCATTTCCTTAATTCACATGTATTAATATAGTACATCAATTTCCTGACTATTAATATATCACCAATTAAATTTATGATGAAGTCAGTTTTAAAAACTTCCTGCAAAGAAAGTAATATAACACTTTTGCATAGAGTATAAGCTCAATGGTTTTAAATTATTCCAAAATTAAGAAACATTTCTTGAGATGCATGTTAACAAATAGGTTATAATGCAGTCATTGTCTTAAATATTAAGACTTATCTTATGAAAATGACAATGTTGTTTTGATATATTCATATAAATAGTGAATTTTTATATTAGTTGAAAATTTAAAATGTTGCCTTTAACAATGAAACATTAACAAGTAATTGGTTCTGTTTCTACCAAGATAAGTGTACACTGTATTATTTTCTTCTTGCAAACTAACATATACACCAAGAATTATATACATATATAGTGTATATACAGATTCTGTGGATATAATTTCTTCATACTATCAGTTACCATTTTTCAAGCCCATCGTTACAGTTTATATGAATACAGCCTCTTTTGCTAAAAAATATCGTCTTTATTGCAATTCAAAAT